CCCCCCCCCCCCCCCCCATTATCACTAACACAATTTAGCCAATATTCACTCTAATGGTCAAAAATTTAGCAATAGGCCCACTTAGAATTTTATTTAATTTAAATAAACCATTTTTTATTTAAATTTGGCCAATTTATTACACTTTCATATGTATGGAAAATCAGAAATCACTCCAATTATCATGATTTATTCATTTTCAAACTGGTGCAAAATCAAGCCAAACTATGGCTAAAATAATTTAAGGTATACTCTATTTTCCAAACTGATATTTTCTGTGTCTACATATCCTGCAAGGGTACTAATCTTTCCCAATTCAAAACTCTCAAATATAAGTACTTTGGTTATTGTGTGTTTTGTAATTAGGTGTTGAAAGTGGAAAAAAATCATTTCAGTATGGTTATCTCTTGTTTACATATTTGGTATTTTCAGGGTGTGACTTTAAACTTCCATGGGTCTGAAGACCTTTTCTAGTCACATTATCTGTTACATGCAGTGCATAGTTAAAATTGGTAGTGGCTATATACTGTTAAGCATTATGTAATATTGCATTAAAATTGAAGAAAACCTTATTTAGGCTCTGCCAACATAGTGGCCATTAAAGGAAAACCATTTTACTTATGATTCCCAAACTTACAGAAGAGAAACATATTTTTCACATATTGGCATTTTCAGGGTGGTACTCTGAACTTCCATGGACTTGAAGACCTTTGCTAATCAAATTTTCTGATTATCCATGATGCTTATATTGTATTATTAAAATTGGTGGTGATTTATCTGGTAAGCATTATGTAATATTGCTTCAAAACTGATAAAAAACTACTACCTACAAAAGCTCTAAAAATCAAACTGTGCTATTTATTATTTTGTAACTTATAAGAATTCTGATCGACATAAATCAAATTGGCAAACCAGCTTGATTGGAGTTTTTTTTCTTGTTGTCTGTACATTTGACAGTTTGACAGTTTGCTGCCTTGTTTATGTATTATTTTGCACTCTGCAAATAATGCAAATCAGTTGACAGAATAATACAAGATGGAAACAAAGAAAGCAAATATCAAAGGCCAAGAAGACAAAATAAAAAAAATAAAATTGGTAAACAATCATAAAATGAGAACTAGACAGCAAAGATGACAAATATACAGACACCTTACAGGAAACAATTAAGGCAACAAAGCTGACAAATGTGTCAAGAAAAGAGTGCACCAAATAATGTTTTGGCCAATTTTGATGCACTATTACATAATGCTTTAAAACAGCATAATCACTCTTACCCGCTTACATTATGTACTACAGGCACATTGAATAACTAGCAAGTAATTCAGTTTTATCGGCTATAAAAGCCACTGAAAATGCTCATACGTGAAAGAAAATATTCAAACAAACAAACAAACAAAAAAACAAACAAACAAACAAAAAAAAAAACAATAATTACCGTAAATGTAAACCAGTCATGCCAATTTTCAAAAGCAACCTGCCTCTTAACCAAAGAAAGCCACTCAGTAGATTTAAAAGTAAAACAAAAATACAGTTTGTCAGTTATGGGGAGAATGTCACCAAATTGTGCAAAATAAATAAATAAATAAATAAATAAAATAATAATAATAATAATAATAATAATAATAATAATAATAAATGAATGTAAACTGATCATGCTGATTTTTGAAAGCAACCTGCTTCTTTGCCAAAACAAAGCTACAAAGTAAATTTAATGTAAAATAAAAATACGGTTTGGCTGTTACAGGGACGAACGTCACCAAAATTGGGCAAAAAGAAGAGGATAATTACTGTTAATGTACACTGAACATACCGATTTTTGAAATCAACCTGCTTCTTTGCCAAACAAAGCTACACAGTAAATTTTAAGGAAAACAAAAATACGGTTTAGAAGTTATGGGGTGAACGTCACTAAAATTGTGCAAAAAAGCAAAATAATTACTGTAAATGTCAACCGATCACACATATTTTCGAAAGCAACCTACCTCTTTACCAAACAAAGGTACTCGGTAAAATGTAAAACAAAAATACGGTTTGGCAGTTATGGGGCAAATGTCACCAAAATTGTGCTAAAAACCAGAATAATTACCAAAAATGTAAGCCGATCGTGCCAGGTTTTGAAAGCAACCTGCTCCTTTGCCAAACAAAGCCCATCAGTAAATTTTAAGTAAAACAAAAATATGATTTGGAAGTTATGGAGCAAAAGTCATGTGGGACAGCGACAGCAAGAGCGACGGCAACGACACAGTCAGACTGATCAGAATACGTCTGTATATAAAAGGGTAAAACTGGCATTTTAAAGCATAGCTAGATGATAAAAATGATTAAAATAAAAGTTTGTTTTATTCATACATAATTGTACATACACATTTACACAAAATATCAATTGGCATATCTCACTGTGATTATACACCTTTAAAACAATAAGGTGCTTCAGATCTCTTTTTACATGAAAATGTGGGGAGTATAGTTTCATCACATATTTAATTATTTTCATTCCATGTGAAGAATTTACCACCAAGCATATGGCATGTACATATGCAGTTACTTTAGGCAGGAATATTTTTTAATGTCTGGTAAGATTTTACATACTAAACTATTTAAGGAAACAAAAAACAGGATCCTGGAACTGAAAGATATAAACAACTGAAACAATTTGGGAATAATTTTACTTCACAGTTCTTCAACAATTTTTTCGTGCTTACCAATTACACCCAACACTCAAAAATACCCTTTAAAGACAATATCTTTATCACTTTGCTTAATTTGCCAGTTGAGTGAACAATTACATACATTCCTGACATTTTAATATATAAGATTAGATTTTTAATCAGGAGTAGTGATTTTATCAACTTAAACAAGTGTAGCATGCCCAACGGCATTAGCACAGGCTAATTTGTAAAGTAAATGGAGCAATTTAAGGCAATGAAAATGCCATTTACTGTCCTATCAGCCAAACTTTACTGTACTGTACATGTAGCAGATTTGCTGCCTGATTAGTCAACGATTTGCATTAGAGATGTACTTCTCATTTCTGAACCTAATGTAAATTTCTTCAGTCTCATAATATCATCATGCATTTAATAATATCAAGCTTGAGCTTTACTGAAAATTATAAGTTTGAACATAGTGTGGTCATTTAACACATATCCACCACACATTTTAAGTGATGACCAACACTTATTTTTGAAATACTTTTTACATCCCATTAAAAATAGTTAGCTAATGGAAACACTCAAAAACACTTTGAATCAGATGACGCATTTTTGAAGCATCAAAACTTGCACCATTAGCCAAAAACCAGGCTGAGAAAATAAGCAAGCCCAACCGCAGTAGAAATTCCACAAAATATCAAATGACCAAAAATCAATTTCAGTACATCTACAATACAGCTGACAATATGTACATATATTCCACATAAAATACATACATTCAATAGACATGGAGAGTCCTAAATCTGAAATGCATCAAATGAAGAAATGTATAGAGCTGCAAAAATATGAATATTTTTACATCAATTAATGCAGTAATTTGTACAGCCAAAAACCTGACGTGTATCTATAATTGGAGGATACACTGTAAATATATGGGTAAGGCTTATGTATATTCTGTCCACCTAAACTAATTCAAGACCAAAAGATAAGTCATTAACTAAACTTCACAATGAATTTTAAGGAGACAATTCTTGAAGTGTCCCTTTCATGTACATTTCTTCACATACATGTTTTTCACCTCACATATTTATATACATCAAAATCTAATAGTATATATAAGAATATTGTCAATGTAATGTGTACATGTTTTGATATTATATTTATTTTACAGACTACACAATTTAAATTATTACATCAACAACTGTATGCTCTATTATTATGTACAGGCAGTCAATCCTAACCACTGACTGTGTTAAAATTATTTTGTATTTTTCATTTGATAAATTATTGAAAGGCCAAATGAATATTAACATGTTTACTTGTCTGACATAAAATTCATCTAGGGTCATTCCAAGTTTCCTCCTCCTGTGCCAGTCAACTCTTTCACTGTCAGGCAGCACATGTATTAGTAGATATGTGCTATATTATCGTCTATATCTGTACATGTGCTATACACATCCTGTATATACAGTGTATATGTCTATGCACTTTTTATGACTGAAGAAGTACAATGTAAAGAAGTTGTTCACAGTCCACAGCTGCATGCTTTCTTGTAAAGAGTCATGATGAGAGATGCAAAAAGGTAATAACATTGGTGGACCTGGATTTTGGGGAAGACATACAGGGGAAGAAAAACATTTGACTTGATTCCTTAACATGTTTGCCTACAAAATAAAAAGGGGGAGAGGAGGATGCCACAGAATTTGACAAAATTGTAGTCAAGTGTGTTCTCCTCTTGCCATACTATGCCATGCATTGAGCTGGCATATATGTAGATGCAACTGTTCAAAGGCACATATGTCATCCCAATTGGATCATAGATTCTTGAGTAGCACAAAGGCTGCCAGAGCAGGAATAAATAAGTAGTACACCCTGCTTTTGCATAAAACCCCAGTATTTTTTAGTTCATCACTACTGGCATCTAAAAAAAAAAAGAAAAGAAAGAAGATGAGCCATTTGATGTTGTATACAGCTGTGAATGATTATGAAAGAAGGCAGTTACTTTATGCTCAAGAAAAAGGTGTGGTGCCATTTTCTTCTCTGACTCTACAAAAACGGTACTGTGATCTTCTATAGATACAAAGTATAGGAACATTAATTGTGAGGAATGGTTTTTTTAATGTCTTCCTGCCATTTTCCATAAAAATCCTGAGAAAAATAAAAAATAAATGAATATAAATAGAATTGTAAAAGTAAATAACAATGGGTGTGCACACTTTTTAAGTGTTTTTTTTTTTTTCAATTTTGGTTTGTATTCATATTTTCCTCAATAACAAAGATGTTTCCTCTTTTTTTAATATATGCAGAAACATTCTTACCAGATGAAATAAATTCATATGTTGCCTCAAATCCTGTGCCGTAAAAGTCATCCTCATTAGACTTGAACATCATCCTAAAGAACTGATGATCAGACATGACAGGATCAGGTTTGTCTTCAGGTCTTGACCCACACTTAGCAATCCTAGCTTTGTCAGGTGGAATAAAGTCTGAGAATTCCACATAATCTGCCATAATAGCTGGATCCTTACAGCTGTGGAGATAGAAACAATTATCAAAATGTAGAGCCAGCCAAAGCAGGCAAATGTACATAAACATAACACTAATATCTCAGATTTACACAATAATTGCACCTATAATAAGGTGTACCGGAGGAGATCAGTATTGGTCAGAATTGTGCCGGGAGTGTGACATCAAGTGGTGTAAGACGCGAAGCTGAGTGGTCAATTTTAGCTGGAGGTGAATGGGGGAGTAGACATGGACAGTGAGAAAAAAGCAGTGTTTCAAACAACATGGTAAGATAACATTTCTTCTTTACGCATTTTGGGAAGAGAATACTTGTAGAAATAATAGGCACATGATATGAATTTAAAACATGACACGGAACTTGAAGGTGAAAAATCGTGCTTAATTTGCAGACAACTTGTTTTGAAATACATGCTGCATCGACCATCAGCGCGACAAAGAGTGTAAAGGGAAAGGAATTCCCGGGAGGCTATAAATCGTTGTCATGTGAAATTTTGACATTTATATAATCTGATATGTCCATATCTAAGTATTTTTTGGATGTTTTATTGTATGTGCTGCAATTATAAGGATGTTTTAGAGTTCCTTAAGGACCTTGTGAAAACCAGGAAGTAGTTCGCAACTAACAACTGAATCGTACTGATCTACGACTGCTGTGCTAAGATGTATCTTTTTTTTTTAAATAATGTGGCGAATTTTTAGATCTTTATATGTCCATCTGACATGAAATTCCACACATATGATCACACTAATACACCTTTTACACCGGGGTGACAAATGCCAAGACAAAGGTGACATTCTGACTACACTCAACAGATCAACTGTCTAAATAATATAGGATCTAAAATAACTGTACATACTTGCATCAGCCTAAAACATTTACCTGTTTGCAACACCCTCTAAGTCAAATGACTTGAAAGTAATTCTAACTCTCTCTTTTGGTCTTCCATAGAACCTATAATGGCACTCTGTTTGCTTTGGGTAGTTGCCTGGGTAATTAGGGCTGGAGAAAGTTCCATTCGCTGCCCTTTCACTTCTAAATTCACAACCACACTCTATGATAAAAATGAAAAAATAAAAAGGTTTTATCTGTGAAAAATTAAAATAAAAACCAAATTTATGCTTATAAGGTGCGACCAAAAATTACTGGGTTGCATTAGTTCATTAAAAAAACAATCTAAAATACATCTCAATATTGTCCAAATATACATAATATATTGGCCACATTGGTTAATACACACACTATCATTTTGCATCATCTTGCTTTTCTAAGTGAATTTTTATATCAATTTAAAACGAGCATTTTATAAGAACATCCTTTCAATATTTTATGATTGTTGTATGGTCACTCCAAATGTATCACAAATTATACAATGCAATTGTTGGACAACATATTGAATAAAACAACATGTGCCAGCCAGGAGAGGTCCACAGTAATCAAATACCATCCTTTGGTCATTCTTGGCTAATGATTAAAAGAGAGCTGGCTTCATGTTCATAGAGTGCTTCAGAAAACCTTAAAACTGTAATTGAAGTCTGAATTATTTGATTTACAAGTATATTAGTAGTAGAGACCAGTATATACTAGTAAGATTGCTTTTTCCACCATTCATGTATATTAATATAACATAGTACTACCTGTATTATTAAGTGCATCTCCATTTTCACACTTGAGCCCATTATCTGAAAAACAAAAAGAAAATAATACAATTAAAGCTTAATTGTTCTGTAATAATTTTTATGGTATTAATGCTGATCCACTTGCATCACAAACTCTTTAAAGAAATTGTATTTCAAGCAAATGCTCAAACTAATCCAATTTGCTCATACATTGATTTCAATATGAAGCAATTCACTCTCACATTTAGTTTTTTCTTTATAATACAATACAATGTCCATGCTGATAATGGGTTCTGCAATTTCTTTACAAGATCCTCACCTGTCCTGAACTTGTAATGGAAGCAAAATGTCTTTTTAATATTCATGTCAGATTCTGTTGCACTTGTAAATTGCACCTCCAGCTTGTTGTTATGGGACATTGCCAGGGAGATGCCATCCCCCTGATTTGACCTACAGTAAGTTCCAAAGGCTTCGTCTTCCCCACTGGCAAAAAGCTCAGCCTTGTCATCACACCTGGAATTGGTCACATTCAGTGTACCTGTATCAGGGCTGCATTTTACTTTAAAAGACATGTACTCTGTATACTTGCATTGTTTAATCTGAGCAATTTTTCAAACTATAATGAAGCAGCTTAACTCTGGGTTCCAAAATAAATAATTTTAGGTTGTTTTATTCTTTGCAGTCTTCTTTGTTTACTTTCTTCTTTCTTATTTTCTAAAGAAAGTAGTTTCTCTCTTGCACTTGTATAAATTAATCTTTTTGTTATTAACTGTACAGATCACAAGGTTACAAGATGAAGAACACACAAAGTTGTTTTTGTTTTCGTTCTTCACGATACAAAAAATTTACTGCACTACGGTATTACTGCAGCCATTTAAAACTTAAACAGTTAAGTTGCCAATTTTTATTAGTATTCAAGAAACATAATATGCATGAAAATGCATAATTGTCATGGTTATGAATATGTCATTACAATTATGTTTCTCATAAATCTCATGTACTAATGGAGTTTGCTCATTAGGGAGTATTTTCAGAGATAAGCTACCAGACGCAAGCTGCTTCGTGCGCCTTGTGTTTTATTCATATGGGCAGGATTAATACTAACACAAATTCAAATTCAGTAGCATTGTTCTATTTCATATTCCCTGCCAAGTGAATGCATTGCATTGGAAATTGGCCAAATTTCATGATCAAAATCCAATTTGAATGGTTTTACACAAGTTGTCTCCCTCTCAAAATTTCTTCAGAAAGTATTTCATCAAGAATCCATGCCAGCATTGCTAGGGCTCATGTAGATGAGTACAAACAATGACAATTTTCAAGAAGTACAAACAATTAACAAACAAGCATGTCTAACATCTTACCTGGAAAGGGGGTTTTTAAGGTGAAAGTCTGTGAAATTGAGCTGAACCTTCTCTTTTCCAGAACCACTAAAACTATATGTACATTTCTGCGGCTTTGGATAAAGTATTGAGTTGATTGTGGTGCAATTTGTACCTTCTTTTTGAAGAAAACTGCTGAAGTTATGATTACAGCTTTCTTTTGAACCTAAAAAGAGAAGGAAAAGGTGTTAATTATGCATGCCATATTTCTGTACATTCCCTCATTCAGTTTGATATTCTAATTTCTTTTTAAACCATCTACCCTTGTATTGTAGGGGCATGTTTTACACAACATCGTATGTTCTAGGCAGATGTCACTTTTTAAAATATTTTATATATTACGTGTTATTTAAAACTTTTTTAAACTATGCAACCTTCATCTTTTAATTTTTTATCTCAGATATATCACTGAACACTCAGATAATGATTAAAAAATGTTTTGTGTTGAAATCACCTACAGTAACAACTTTACCTCAAAATATCTTCATTACTGTGAAAAATTAACAGGCAACAATTTTCATTTGTCAACTTAAACTTCACAACCTACCCATTAAAAGTACAAATGCAGTGCACATGTACATTGTATTAAGCAATATAACTATTCTGTTCCTATTCTGCTTAACATTGTCATTTTTTTCTATCAAAGAGAAAATTGCCATCTACAGGCACAGGCTGTGATATGTCTGTGACACTTTAGTTGTCATGGTAAAAATTATGATAGCATTCAGTGCATTGGTTTATATGAATTATGAAAAGATGTCCTTAGGTATTTCTCTCAATTATACTATTTGAAACTATTTTGGTATTGTTTGGTTGGGTTCTGTGGCCAAAATTTGACTTTAAATACATCTATCACCAAATTTTAAATGAATGCGGTTCAAGGCATATAGCTAATTCAAATGTTGCACAGCCCAGCACTATATCAAAATACAGTTTTTTATTGTATCTATTATTCTCATATTCTGACACTTATTCTCATATTCTGACATTCCAACAATCAGTTCTGCATTTGACAGCAAGTTGTGCATTAATATTGGGAAAATTAAGTCAGCAGGACTCTTGTGTTATCAGTGGGCATTTTTGTTAGGATTATATATGGAAATGCAAGTAAATATATTTATGAATCAGGTCCTAAGTAACATTATGTTCCTCGGAAAGACATTAAGGAAACCTAATTCAAAGCAATATGGGTTAATGGGTATCAAATGCACAAGCAGAGACCATTTATTCCTTCCTAATGCAATTGCATGCGCATCTCCACTATCTTTGCTTTTCACATGGATCGATTCTCTCAAGCTTAAAAGGAGATTTCTTTCTCGCTTACAGAAACTGCCTTCCTTAACTTGAAGCAATGTCCAATCCAATTGTCTTACTATCTACAAATAGGGCTATATGCCAACATGCACTGTGAAAAAACAAACCTTTTGCATAGAACTGCAATTTGGGTATCAAAATAGACAAATTTTATGATTGACTGGCAGTATTTGGTGTGTATACATAAGTATAACAATTACACTGCAAATTAAGGTTGTTGGAAAATCATCATGACATATAGAAATTACTGTATGCATGGAGGTCTATGATGATGAGAGATGGTAATGGCCAAAATGAGCTGGGAAACCCTTAGATTCTGTCTTGAATGAATGGATGAGGTGGAATGAACATTTGGTTGAAGGAAAATCATCATGACATATATAAATTACTGTATGCATGGAGGTCTATGATGGTGAGAGATGGTAATGGCCAAAATGAGCTGGGAAACCCTCAGATTCTGTCTTGAATGAATGAATGAGGTGGAGTGAACATTTGGTTGAAGGAAAATGTATTGAAAACATCTATCTCACAGAGCATATCAAGACAAGTATGATTGCCTCCTGTATGTTTTTTACATTAAAAAAATATACAATTTAAAAATGTTAATTGTTTCTCCTAAGCTAGTCAATTAATCTCTGTAAGTTCTCCATGTACAGTTTTCTCCACTAAAAATTACTGAAGCCAGGAAAAACATTTTCATAATCTTATTTACCCTTTATCTGGAAATAGAATCTTAATTGTCACCTCAAATGACAGTAAAAATAGATACTAATGATCAAAAACCCTGCATGTGGAATATATACAAGCTAGATAACTTTATCAACCTTGACTGAAATTTGCAACAAACTTAATTTGTTTCTCCTGCCCACTTTTATCATTGACATTAGGAAGAAATTCATAAGGCCACACTGATTTAATTTTATGGATGACATTTGTTTTGGTATGCAAGCAACGTTGGAGAGGGGGATATCACGTCTGCTCAACTACATGAGAGACTACTGATTGGGAGCCACAATCATCCAGACGACCTCAAAGATGTCCTATGCAGAGCTGCTCACACACATTTCTTTTGCAATGACACAAGAATCGAGAGAGGAGTTGAGTTATATGGTGGCCTTAAAGTGGGTCTAAAGTATCCTTAGTTGTTGGTTTGATACAAAGATGAAGCAGTTGAGTGCTGATTCTTCAGTATTCTTTTTTTTTCTCTCTGACATTTGTTTTGGGGTCTCCAGAGGATATCATCCATAAAATTAAATCTGTGTGGCCTAATCCTAAATCTTCAGGATAATCGGAAAACTTTAGTGTAAGAAAAGACTGTAAACTTGATTTAAATGCAATTTGACACTTTATGCTTGCTGCAGGCACAATTATTGATGTGAAATAATCCAATTAAAACAAGTATATGAAACTCTGTATAGTTGGGTAAAGGAAAACATTATTATCTCTATGTCTGAAGGAATAATACAGTGGCAATAACAGTAATTAATCATGCAATGTTTGTTTGTAGCTAAACTAGACTGGACTGAAGTGAAGACAAATGTGGTGCATATCATTCTGCAATTGCTTTAGGCTACAGCAAGTGGTACATGTAGAAGTAATCACACTAAATGTGATTGTCTGTCTAAATGTCAGCTTGAAAGCATCACAAATATTTTAAAAGTTGCCAATGTATGAAAATTGACTAATGGCCATGGAGCAAGTTATATAAATGACCAGCATTGTGACCAGAGAAATAGGAATGAAAAAGATATCAAATTTTAACAATATTTTTTAAAAATTCGATACAGTATACAGGACTGCCCTGAGTAAACCAAATCTATTTTAAAAATTGTATGATTGAATTTTCTAGGGGTATTAGAACCAATTAAATAGATGTTAGGAGAGAGCCAGAGTACTGATTTAAAATCATTAAGTTTCATCCTTATATCTTGCCTTTTGGTTATAAAATTGCTATTTGGATCTTTGTTATTAATAAATGCATTTCTTCTGCCCTAAAAGGAATTTTTAAAATGGAAAACTTGACTGAATTATTATTATTATTATTATTATTATTATTATTATTATTATTATTATTATTATTATTGTATTGAAATGCTATCAAAATAAATTTTTTAATGGTGTATTTCATGCCAATATTTCACCCACTGTACTTTAAAGCATGTAATATATGTGGGATCTAACAATAGTATTGGGGAAGCATGCATATGAACAACAAAAACCAGAGTACATATTATTTTAAGTGTATATACAGACATGCTCGATGTATTTGCATATATATATATATACTGTACCCACCACGATTTTTCCCGTCTTGACTAAAATCTTGGCTTAGACAGCCAGAACATTGAAGAAGCAAGAATAAAACCAGTGTTGAGTATCTCCACATCTTCAATACCATGAATCCAACTCTTCTCTCAGGCTTAAGAATATGGATCTTTTCAGCGGATCCTTTTTTTTTTTCAATATAGAGTGAGTCTTCTTGCAACTAACTCCCTAATGGTTTGAAATTATAATACAATTTCTAGTTTCTTATCTCTGAGAGTGTCATCTGTACCATGTGAATAGATGTTGCTGATCGAATCAGGAAATATTTCCAGGCAGATTCTGTTGTCTGTCTTCTCAGAAGTTTAATAGTCCAATTGCTTCAAAGTCCAATCTTCCAACTCAAATCTGAATGGCTACATACCGTTACTTTAACTAGTTGTCATGGAAATGAAGAAGGGAACGCAACAAAACAATTGGATTTCTCCCGACACAAGTGGCAAACTCAACCGGCCTACCAGCCTCTGGAGTCTAGCGGTGACTATTAGTGAATTATTCCAAAGAAAAGCTCGTCTCAGCTACAATAATTGTAACGTCATCACAGATTTATATCTTGCTATGCTTCCAATCAACATTGAGATGGCTGCATGGATATTACCCTAAATCAAGTCCTACTAATTTAATTTTCCCCAAACTGAACAGATTAATCTTGTCTTCTTTCAACTGCAAAAGGTCACACAATGTTTCCTCACAATTCCGATATCTATTTTTCTAATCTCAAGTAATACATAATGTCCTGAACCCAACTTGACATCCATTTCAATCACTACCCTTAGAACCCCAAAATACTACATCCCTTGAGAGCCTCTAGAGATGTGAAGGCCTAATCAAATATTTGACAGAGATTATGCATTTAGTCACTTTGAAAGCAAAAAGACAGCTTTTGGCTCCCTTTTTGAAAAGCAAATCCCTCACATTTGACCCTCGATTAGACCTTGGACATAATAACGAACATGTCCAAGATTAGACCATTTGCCTAGACATGCTAAAACAATCACAAAGGATTTGAATAAAATTTGCCCCAATAACTATACTCTGTGCATGAGTTAACTTAGAAGGTAAAATTAATCTAGACACTAACCAAGTTTGCAAATGTGCAGACTAATTAGGAACCTAGGAAGGAGAGGTTTATTACAGATTTTGCATCAAAGATAGAGTGATTGCTTACAATTTTAAAAGCATTTATGAATCACCAAATTCCTTACAAAGTAGTTTTTGTTTTTGAAAATAGAATATTCATTTTTGTTGGAATTCAGTTATTACCGTTTTAAATCTACCATTTTACAGTTCCATATAATATGAAACATTTACCAATAATGAGCTGAGAAGGGCAAACATTTCATACATATCATCATTTTTATGTAACAGCTGATAGAGGCCATCAATTCATAGTTGTTTTTTTCTATTGAACACTATAATGATCCTTCATTTCTATCATTACAGATCGATTAGCAATCATTGATCTAAAATTCTTTTTGGGAACACCACAAGATCCAACCACTCGGCTCTAATCTTCTTGGACGTCAGCAA